AAAAGTTAGTATTTCTTAGTCTACACTAGTTCTTTTCCCCATATCAATCAAATACATGAAAAACAAACCTATACTTCAAATCACTCATGTTCAAAATATTTTTACATATGAAACTTTCTAATATAAGAACGATCAAATATCGTCCTAGATTTTCTACCAGAGTTTTATATGGCGTGCTGTTTATGCAATATTAGTGTAGCATAGTTTCTTCTATGAAGTTAATTGATATCTGATGTTATTTAGAAGAGATATTTGACACTGATCAGCTTAACTGATCATCAAAGATGCTAGTCAAGTATTAATAGCAACGCATATAATATTAAAGTGTTCGAAAAAGACGCAAAAAAAAACTTAATTATCCAATTTTTTTTTTCTTAAAGTAAAATTAAGCATTAAAAGAATTTATAAAGAAATATAATAGTACATTCGTTATATATGCAAAAGTTTCATATCCGATATGGATATTTTCTAATCAATGACGAGTTTTATTATAAGTATAATCCTCCTTGAATTTTATAGCCGAATTGAAGATGCGTGTAATATTGAATAGAATAAAAGAAAATGTTTCTTATTTGTGTGCCAATAGTCTTTTATTGAATCCAGCGGAAATACTTTTTCATCAGTTTTTTTTTTTTTTATCGAGAAGTCTAGTTTGCTAGCTAGATAGTATAACGTTATATTAGTAGGCAAGAATAAAAAAAATAGAAAGGAATGAGAAAGAGAGAACAATTCTACTGTTGTGCTTTTTTTTCTGTTCTCTTTTTTCTATTATTTTTAGACATGCATCTAATCTCATTGACATAATGAAGATGTTTCGATTGTTTTTTCTTATTATCATTTACAGTGCTAATTTGATGCACTGTATGTGTTTAAGTAAATATACTGTTGAGGAGCAGAAAGAAAAATATTCTAGTATATTATAAAGTAGAGTATCAAATTGGTAGAAAGCTAAACGAATGACAGAAACTTCAAATAAATCAGTTTTGAACTTTTTTAATTATCGCCGTACCTAACTAAACGGTAATATTTCCATGTTTCCTATTAATATCTTGTGATGAAATATTTTTGCTTCAGGTATATAACTTCGCGACATTTTGCAACCCTGAGCATTGCTTATAATCTAGAAGAACGAACCATTTAAACTGTATGATGCATGCCTAATGCTTATATATCGAGATTTTTGATAACCATAGATTTCGTCTAACTTTTCATGTGTTTTTTTTCAATGTAACATGAAAAATGATCAATTTCATGTTCTTCTTTGCTTCTTTTTTGTTTTTACTATCCAGCACATTCTTCATATTATTAAGATAACTACGAAATATTTTTTAATGATATTATTATAATCATTTAATACTAAATAATATTGGTAAGTAAAGTTTGAAAATAATTCGAAATCAAAGTTATCGTGACATAGACATACTATTTTCTTTTTCGAAATCAATCAGTTCTATTATTGAAATCATACCTGTCATCATTTTATATGTTTGAAGATTATGTGTTAATTAACATGTCTGTCATATTTAGACATATTAGTGCATATATGTATCCTTAGAGAGATCGATCATTGTTCTCCTTAAATTCAAAATGATTGATAGAAAATAAGGCTTTTCTTGATAAATATTAATGTAGGCTATTGTGTCAGTTAAAAAAATCATAAATAAGTGTAATACATAGTGTATGGAGTAGATCTATGTAGATGAATTTAGTCAATAACTATTGTTTTTGTTTTTGTTTTTTTGTCATTTTAATAAGTCAATGAATATGGTGTATTCAAATATATTCATTTGTTAGTTGAAATTATAAATAGATACAATGCATTATTTATTCTTTTCGTGTAAGTTATTTCTCAACAGTTTTCATTCAGGAAATCGAGCGTTAGATTAATTCAATGAGTAGTATATCTTGCGATTGTAATGGGTATAGTAAATTACATTTTTTTTCTCTTTGAACAAGAAAAAAGAAAAAGAATGTGATAAGTACTGTCGATTATTGCTATTAGAAAGAATCAAGAAGAATAAATTTGTTATGTGAAATAGTATTGAACGTCTTTTTTTTTCAAATAGTCTTATTTTTAATCACAAAATCATGATCCCGTTCAATATAATTGTTCGTACTATTTATATCCTTGATTCTAAGTTTTAGTAAGTGCAATTTTTCTTGCGAAATGGAGCACATAAAAAAAGAAGATTGGGAATATATTTCTTTTGGATTTATATATATAGATGATTAAGTCTGGTAGATTATTATCGGAACTGTTTTCGGTTTCTTTTTTCTATTTTTTTTTTCTTCTGCACATCATCATTAATTTTTTGTTATACGATGAAGAATTATCGTGTAAAATAATCTTTTCCCGAAGCAAATTGACCTTATACATATACTTTCTTGTTTTCTCTGAATATGTATATTTAATTATCTGTAGATTAAACAGATTTCGTGAATATTTTTTCCAATATATCACGTTCTATGACGTTACTAGTCTTTTAAGATAAAAGAAAGAAGATACCCTTGAAAATTTTCTGTTTTGTTATAGAACAAAGTTTTATTATTTCTATTCTTTTTATTTTGTTATTATATATTGTGTCATTTCTGTTGTTTTTTTTTAAAATACTAATTAAGATATATATTCGTCTACTTATATTCAGTTTTTCTTTTGGTGATATATATATAAAAATAAAATTAGCAAACATTTTGACGTCAATGCTTTTACAAAAATTAATTCGATTTTTATATTTCATCAGTTTGATCGACGACTTGACCTTCATATATTGTTTATTAGTTACATACGCTTCATGTATTTTATTGTTCGTTATACCTAACATCCTAAGGATGACCTTGTTATCTTTATATTTTTCCTATGTTAGGCGATTTATTTTTGTTAAAATATAAGAATATAAGAAAAAAATTTAGATTAAAAATAACATTGAACTGTTTAGAAAATTTTTCACGTCAAAAAAAAATAATACCAAAAAAGTGTTTTAAGTGTAAATTTCCAAGGTTTTTTCTGAGATTTATGAAACCATTAATTGAAAAAGACTAATTGAAAGAAAATCTAAGAACACATAAAGCATTTTGCACTTGTTGCACTTGGAAATGCTTTTATACTTTTATAGCACGTAAGTGATACATTTTTTTAAAAAAAAAACTTCACAAGATATTAAGAATCAAAGGCTCATCTTAGATTACATATAGACAAAAGGAAACTATATACTATGTCGTTCTTAAATAAATGTATTTAAACAGATAGAATCAGAAAATCTTTATATAATTATAATTTCATAAAAATAAATTTATATAATAGAATGAACAAATTTTTCTTTATTCAAAAAAAAAAAGAATTCTTTTCATATTATTCTTGTTTTCTCAAAAGGAAAAAACATCTATTCAGAAAAGATAATAACTTATCAGCACTTTTAAATCATTTGGGAATATAAAATGTTCTCGTTCTCATCATGAAAATAATGACAATAAGTTATTATTCTAATAGAGCATATTATAATCATTTTGATTCAGTATAAATATATACATATACACACTTTGCAATCGAGATCAACAGATTTTTTTTCCTAATAATAGACATGATTAAGAATATAAGAAATGTTTATATTTGAAATATTTTGTTAAAGTTTGATTTTTCTTATGATCTATTCGTAACTTTTAACCGAGAAATCTCAAGAAACTAGACGTATATCATTTTCTCTTTATCATAGAAATTTTCAAAGTAATTTATTGGCATGACTCTTTCAATTATCAAAGAGCTTGATGTCAAATTTTATATCCGCTTAAATAAATCGTCTGAAATGAAAGATCTATGATTATTATTATTATTATTATTACCATCACAAAACGCTACAATTAACTTTTCATTATGACAGTGCTATATATTGACCTTCTTGTCTATCTATACAACATATATATATATACTCGGTGAGCCAGAATAAGTTAGACTATTTATATTTCTAATCGTTGTTCATTATTCTTCACTCAATTGAAATACTTTTTTTTTTATCAAAAGATAGCGCTTGAAATTCTTTACCAAACTATATATGATTAAATCAAAAAACTATTTGAGATATATTTGAAAAAGATAACAAGTAAGGACATACAAACGTATATAAACACTAAATATGAAAATGGTAATTAGTAGTGTCATACCTACTTTTTTGAAGAATTTTTTTACTAGTAATGGCTTTTTTTTTTATACTCGTACGACCACTAAATCAACAAACTAGTAAATAGTGTAGATTTCGATCTCCTGTGTAACTTTTTCTCTAGAAAGGTGATCGGAAATTTGCTCAGGAAAAATACTACGGCACGCATGCCCTCAAGGCATTACTTTCTTTCAAAGAAAGTCATGCTACCACCATTCTGGATCTCGTACGCTTTTTTTCTGAGAAAAATTTTGACCACTTTTCTAGAGAAAAAGTTATACGACAGATCAAAATCTATACAATCCACTAGTTTGTTGATTCAGTGGTCATACGAACAAAAAAAAACAAGCCATTACTATTTTAAAAAATCCTTTCAAAAAGTAAGCATGACACTACTAATCACTATTTTCATATTTAGTTTTTTTACATATGTTTATATGTTTTTACTTTTCATCTTTTTTCAAATATATCTCAAATAGTTTTTTGATCTGATGATATATTGTTTTGTAGAGCATTTCAAGTGCTCTCTCTTGATAAAAAAGTGTTTCAATTGAGTGAAGAATAGAGAAGAAATATAAAAAGTGTAAACAGTCTAATTTATGATGGTTCACGCGATATATATCATGATTTTTTATTTATTTCAAGAACGACAATGCGTTGTCCTACTTTGCGTAGGTCATAACTTTAGAGTATACGCTATTATTAGAGAAATATTTTCTATGAATTAAACATTTCTAATGCTTACTTCACCAGGCGTAATGCCTTATGTTTGTTTCACCTTTATATGAAAAAATGACGCAGATACATAGAATTTAAAATTGATAATTACTTTTTTTGTTTCAGATTAATATGAATAGTTCTTTGACATATTCACATGAAAGTTTTACACGATGGATATCAAGTATAATATCTCCAATAATATTACTTGGTTGTGCTATTGGAAATATAATATCTTTTATTGTTTTATTACAACCACGTCTTCGTCGACAAACAACATCAATTTATTTAGCAATTCTGTGTGTTGCTGAAATAGGAACATGTTATACTGGTCTTTTAAGACAATTTTTACTTGATGCCTTTAATCTTGATATTCGAAGAATAAATTCATTTACATGTCGTACACATATTTATTTAACATATATATTTCTTCGTTTAGCACCATTATTACTTGCTCTTGTTACATTACAACGTTATCTTTATGTTACTCATCGTGCTATATGTTCTTTAAAATCAACATGTATACAATTATTTTGTATATTTTTATTTGTTTTTTTAGCTGAATCACATTTATTTATATTTTATGAATTAACTTATCCAGATATACGACCAAGAAGTGATTATATACCATTTGAATGTACTGTAGATGAAATTCGTTATAAAATTTATTATAAATTTCGTAGTAGAATCTATCCAAAATTAGCATTCGTAGCATATACAATAGTTCCGTTAACTGTTATTATTGTTGGAAATGTTTTATTAGTACGAACAGTACGACAAGCATCAGATCGTTCACGTTCAAAATCAAAAAAAAAACGTTCAGTAACAAAAATGTTATATGCTGTTAGTATACTTTATACAGTATTAACATCTCCAGCATCAATATTTCTTGCAATAGCACCAACTAGTTATCAATTAGCACCAGCATTTCGTTTACAATGGACATTATTACGTTTATTATTTTATTTATGTCATTCAGTTAATTTTTTATTATTTTGTGCAAGTGGAACATTTTTTCGACAAGAATTTGTTTCATTTATAAATTCAAATTGTGGTTTTCGAATTAATTGGAGACATAATGAACATCGTGCTGGTGATATTGGTGGTATAAGTAAATTTGAAGAAGAAACATTACATCACAGTATTCAATATAAAAATCCTAGTGAATATAGTTTTGCTAAAATTGAAAAACAAAATTCAAAATTAAATGGAGCATCAACAGAAAATCCAGTAGACTTATAATAATCCATTAAAAACTAAATATATTTGTTTCTTATGTTAACTTTGTATTTTTAATTTTTAAATATTATATATCACAGATCAATGCACATTAAAACAAAAAAAAAGAGAAAAAAAAACTACAAGTCTAGCAATTTAATTTATCAAATACCTAAATCAATAATATCCTCCGATAAAATCGTTTGTAAAGCACGTGTTAAATCTGCTTTCATTTCCTTCAATGATCCTGGTCGTCGATATTCATCTTGTGATATATTTCTAGTTGTCGGCTGTTGTTGTCGAGTTGTTCTTTTAATATCATAAATAAGTTCATAACCACCATGGGAATATCGATGTTGAGCATTACAATCAACAATACGTTGCATATCACGTTCAATTAACTCAGGATTTTTTTCATATAAATGTGCTCCTATTAAATATATTACAAATGAATTTTTCTGAGAGAAAACAGTGGATTTCAAGAGAATTCATAGAATTTAAAGAAAAATTTTAAGAGTCCCATAGATATTTTGTAAAGTATGAGATCAAGCCTGAAGTCTTCGTTATTTTCCATCTCTTCTGAATTTATTTTTCTAAGAAAATGAAATAATAATAACGTTTTTCTTTACCCCAATGCATAGTTTGTACCATAAAATTTTTTCTTGCTATTTGTTGTTTAGCATTTTGTGATAATAATGGCATTAACACTTCACCCAATTTTAAACAGACAAAAACAACATGCTAAAATAATTTTTTATTCATTATTAAACAAACAAATAAATAATTCTAACCTCAAATACAATAAGAAAAGCAAGACGAGCAACCATAATAACATAATAATCATGATTTGTTTGATATGGTTTAGAATCCCATGGTGGTGTACGATGATCTTTATAACTAAATTAAATTTTAAAGAAAAACTGATTAATTCAAAAAAAAAAAAGAAAATTAAATTCAAATAAAATCTTACAAACAATAAATACTAGTTGTATTAAATTTGTTTAATGATGATGATGCAAGATGATTGATTTCATAAGCTGATAATGTAAAATTTACATAATTAACTAATGTTCGATTTGAACTTCGAGAATATTGATAAACAAGACGAGGTACAAAATCAGATGTTAATGCAATTAGTAAACCCTATTAATTTGACAAAAAAAAAATTTTTGTCAATCGAAATTTTATTTTATTTTTTTCCTGCTTTTACATTTGTTAGAATTGCTAATTTTGATATAGCAGCTATGATTAAACGCCAAATACCTAAGACAAAATAATGAAAAGAAAAAAAAACAACAAAATTTTTTTCTATTATATTTTATTTATTTAAATACCAATATCAGCAACTTTTTTAGCAACTGGTCGACGTACGTCACATACAAATTTATTGGCATCAATTCGTATTTCCACAATGTTATTAAGAAAAGCGCAAAGTGGAGCAACTAGACAAAAAAAAAAGAAATTTAATAATCATATATTGATGTTCTTCAGTAAATAAAAAACAAAAATATTTGAAATATGATTATTATAAAATCTTAATAAAGGTATTGAAAGAATATGAGATTTTTCTCTATAGAAATTATGTTAAGGCCCCCCCCCCCCCTCTCAAAAATGTCGAGTTTCGTCAAAAAAACGAAATTTGAGATAAATTCACAGCTGAATACTATAATACCTGAACGTTAAGAATCCACAGATTTTCAGGTTTCGTTCTCTAAAAAACTAGGTTTCGCAAAAAAAGTGTATTTTCGGCACTATTCATAAATTTTTTCAAAAATTGATGTTTTTCAAAAAAAAACGATTTTGGAGATAAAGATCATTTTTTCATCAAAAAAAGTATTTCTTGTGTGTTAAAAGATGGTTAGATAGTTTAGTTTATGTCATCCCGATCACTTGATTACAGATCAGTAGGTTATTTTTGTACAAACTTCTAACAGCGCTTTTGTCTTTCAAAAAACCATTCTGATAGTTGGTCTAAAAAATTTAAAAATTTATGACAACGCCTTGAAAGACCATTTTATCAGGTTAATAGATGTTTTTTTTATACAGTTTCATTAGAACTTTTCCTAGAGAAACTTCTGAAGACGAAAGAAAATTATATCCTTTGACTAAGCAGAGATATTCACATAATACACAAATTTTCTCGGAAAGTTCACATAAAAAAATTGTTTTACATTGTTTTCAAAATGGTGGTCGAATGGCGTAGCCCCTCCAAAAGTCAATTATAATCCGATATAAAATCAAATCTTTTTTTTTTTGTTTGAAAGAGCATCAAAAACTGCAGTGTCTATGAGGGCCCTTTTTTTGATAAAGCGTTCTTATTATTATATTGAAAAGCGATTTTATAATATAAGCATCATTTTTTTGAGGGACTTTTGAGTCATTGAATTTGTGAAGCCTCTTTTTCTTATTAAAGATAAGAATAAAAAAAAAGGGTCCTCATAAGTACTGCATCCTGACATGCTCTTTCAAATAAAAAAACAATGAACCATATTAAATGAACATCCATAGAGATTTTATTAGCTATTTTTCGACCCTTGTTTGGTTCGTATCTACCTCAGACATCAGGATAGGAGGCTGAAAATTTTATCATAGACGTCCTTTTACACCCTCAACATATCCTAAGAGTTTCATGGCATCTCGATGTTCCAGAGCTGAGATCGATTTTTTTGGGGGGGGGGGGGGATGCCTTAAGAGTCTCTGTAATTTCGCCAATTGTGAAGTTGGCCAACGGTATATTCGCCATTGGCGAACTTCCCCACGAAATTCGCCAATTGGCGAATTACTAGTTGATATTCGCCAATTGGCAAAAATAAATTTAACTTCCTGTTCGCCAACTGGCGAATTTCCTCACGAAATTCGCCAATTGGCATCAATGGAATTATGACTCGACCAAGTTTATGGGCTAAAATATACTTTGATAGTTATGTTATCTGTCAAGATACATTTTGTTAACTTGAACTTTATTTTAAACTTCTTTTATTTCAAGTAAGAAATGAACTAGGGTGTGGGGTGTGGGTGTGGGGGTGTGGGTGTGGGTGTGGGGGTGTGGGTGTGGGTGTGGGGGTGGGGGTGTGGGTGTGGGTGTGGGGGTGTGGGTGTGGGTGTATGTGTGCGCGTGAGTGTGGGTGTGGGGTGTGGGTATTTTTCTTCAAAACACCCTGACACCCACACCCCTGAAAGTTTCGTGAAAGTTCCATGTACCAGGACCGAGATTGATGGGGACCTCAAGTCTCTAGCAGTACAATTTTTGTTAGTCTCGGAAAACTATGATGCTAATTGATCTTTCGAAATTTTGTTTTTTATGAATAATATTGTCTTCGTAAGAACTATAAATGCTGAAATTTTCAGCTTTCTTTGATCATTTTTTATATACAATGTCCAGTATCCAATGGATTAGCCCTGCAGTGTCCCAGAACTTTTGGCCAATGGACTAACATTTAAACTTATATAACTTTCTACAGAAGCTTCCAATTCATAATGCTATAATAGTATATGAAAGGCCTCTGTTAGATCTATCAAAGCACACCACCATTGGCTCATGATAGATTCATAACCGAAAGTTATAAAAGGGAAAAGTTTGTCTCAGAACTTTTGTCCAGCACTGTATAGTGACCAATCGCGTATGGTCAAGTGCGGACTATTTTTAATGTAAAAAATGACCACAGAGGGCGTTGTACTCCAGTTCGATTTTTATGTATCTGCATGTAATGTATGGCACATGTCCGAGGGTCTCTATAATTTTGTCAATTGTGAAGTTGGCCAACGGTATGTTAGCCAATTGGCGAATTACTAGTATGACATTTGCCAATAAAAAAAATAAATTTGATTTACTGTTTGGCCAATTGGCGAATGTCGTGGGGAAATTCGCCAATTGGCGAATTACTAGTTGATATTCGCCAATTGGCAAAAAATACAATTGGCGAAAACAGGAATTGGCATTAAGATATTTCCCCTGCCTTAAATAAGAGTTTGATTAATCTAGGTACATTAACAAAAATATAAATAGTCGTGTCGGAAAGCTTTAAAAGTATTGTGTCAAGATAAAAGATGAAACTTTGACTTCGAGCTTTAGGTTTTGAATCGATCAAAGTGTTTCTTCTATATAATGAACGCTTAACAGTCGATTGGCGAAGGAACACTTATAATTGATAACCTTTGTTCAAGCTCATATTTTGTTGATTGTTAGGATTCACCGTTCAGATAAAAGTCTTAAAATGTATGTGCTATTAGCATTTTCTGCTTGATTTATGATCATTTTACTGAATTTTCAGCCTATGGCAGGATATGACGAAGAAGACGAAATCAAGAAATTTTAGTCTAAAATTTTATTGTGTAATAGATTTCATGATACTTATAATATTCTGAAAGTTTCAGCAAAAATCGATACTTCTATCTGAAGATAACAGAGTTGCAAAAACGCTGATTTCGAACCAAAGATTCGAACGAATCCCGTTTTTTTTTCATAGTATACAATATCTTGAGAAGAAATCATTCCGTTCTGCTGAAACTTACAAGATATTCTAAGTATCATAAGATGAAATTTTCAGGCTAAAAATTCTTGATTCAATTTTCCTCCTAATATTCTTGCAATAGACTGAAAATTCAATAAAATGATCATAATTCAAGAAGAAATTGTTAATGGCACATGTCATTTTAGAACTTTTATCGGTAACATCGATCCTAACAATCAGCAAAATATGAGTTCGAGTGGAAGCTACTCGTTGGAAGAGTTATCTTGTGAGTGAGTTTAAACAATAGAAGTTAAAGGTTTTGATTTAATTTATTAATATATGCAATCAATAAAGTCTAACTCTATTTTTTCAGTATTTCAGAAATAGGAGTAGTTGAAGACAAAACATTTTAGATCAAATTATAAAATATTTCCTTAGATTTGACTTCATCATATTATCGAACATAGGTCGCGATAAACCTAGAAATATGATAAAGATTTCAGTTTATTGAAAAAGATTTGACACGAATAAAAATGACTAAATGAAGTTTGGCTAAAAATCGTTTTCATCTTCCTTTCTATGTTAAATGCAGAAGGAAACATCTATTTTAAGAATTTTATTATAAAATAAAATCACTTATTTTTTTTCTAGAACATTCATCATTACGAGAAAGAAGCATCGAGTTCAATGATATTTTTTTAAATACTTATGAAAAAATAATTATTAAAATTTTTTTTTTCTTTATGCGTCATTTCTTTTACTGATTTCTATAATAATTTCTCTCTTTGATATCTACATTAAACAATAGAAATTGAAACAATAAAATTTTTATTTTGAATTCTTAACGTTTATAAGAGATTTAACTAAAAAATCTATAAATATCAATGTCACAATTATAACTAATGCACAAAACTCATTAAGTGATAACATCGATTATCTATCTCGAAATTCGATTTTATCTTTCCAATTTGTCATTTTGTTGTCAGAAGTCAATTATCATCAAAATGACACTATTTGATGCATATCATACAGTAATCTAATCGATTTAGCCACTATTATTATAGTCATATTAAATGACTCTTAACACGAATACTGTGTTTTTATACTTCATAGTGAATTTGTTTATTTAGATATTTAATTGACTCGTACACATCAAGTCCGGGTTTTTTTTGTTTTCTTTATGAACATCATCTAAGAATTTTCTCTAGTAATAGCAATTCAATATGAAATTTTATACAAATCAATAGATATTCACGTGACCTATGATATTTTATACAAAAATATTTACACAAAAAAAGAATGTTCGAGAATGTATCATTTTCTCATAATACTAAACAAGGCTCTTATATGATTGATTATGATGTCCTGTTACTCTAATTCTAGTATTGCTATTATCGTTATCAAGAAAACAACAATTCGTTCTTGATTTCACATTCATCGATAAATCTTATCAACGCCGTAACAGATGATAATGAAGTATCCATCCAAATGAATAATTAAATTTAGTAATGTTCAGATTCACCAAACAAAAGTTTTCCGGAATTACTAACTCCTGAGATAATAAATCGTGTTTCATATGAAAAAAATTCTAAGAAGATTGCACAAACTTCCAGGAAATTACGAAAATTTCTTTAACATCAATATGAATAAATGAAATTATAAGTCTATAGAATCCACTGAAAACTAGAAGAATTTCTGATAATTTCCCAGTAATGCCTGAAATTTCACGCTACTTGGTGGTAAAATTTTTTTCATAAAAAACAGTATGATATATTTATCATTCATAAATAAAAATTCTAGTAACATCCAACAAATATCAAAATTTCTCGGTAATTTTTGAAATTCTCCGCAATTTTTGCTAAGAAATGTCTTCTTAGGCGTTAGCAATTATTGAAAAATTACCTTCTCATATGTTCATCATTTCAGAAAGTTGAACATACATAATCGAATTACAATCAAAGGAACTTTAAAACAATAAAATTTCACTAAACATATCTTGTTCCGTTCGGAGTTCTAAATATTTTATTCGATCTTATAGAAATCATTTGAATAGGAAAGAAAGAAACCGGAATGGAAAAAAATTCGAAAGACGAAATTCGTATTATCAATAAAGACGTAGTCGAAAATTTTCGAACGACAAACAAAATTCAACTTCTTCAGTTCGAAGAAAAATAATAACAATTCTTGATTCCTATGTTAATTTTACATAATATGTGGTTTCCGTTTATCTAATGAGATGTTCCTTATTTGTTCAGACACTTTATGTGATTCTCATATTATTAAATTGAAATCCAAGAAGACTATTTTCCTCTTTTCTTAAGTCTTGTACTTAGATTTGCTACACTTGACACTTATTTATTTGGAAAATTCGCTTTCTTCTAGACAATTTTTAATGCTATGCTATTATTAGAATGAACTCAGTAAGAACTATAGGAATATATAAAGAATAAATAATAGATTATTACATCAAAAGAATAATAATGTATAAAATTATAAACTTACATCTGATGTTGTCTACTTATTATAACTATATTTTACTGTGGTTTTGAGTAAATTCTCTAAGATTACATTGATATTTCTATGTAATCTTCTAGAAGTTCGAAGTTTATGGATTTCTGTCAAATATGTAATCTATTTATACTTTCTAAATAAGAATTATTTCTATACTTTATATACATCAGTATTGATTGGGTAAAGATTCTTCAAGTATTCTATGGAAATAATAGTCACCCATTCTTTTCTATCATATTTTTAATATAATTAATTTCATTAATGTCAATGAGATCTATGAAATAGTATATCACACACATTCGAACTTTCACTTTCCAAAAATAATAATCCCTATAATGTAATTTGACTATGTATTTTACCAGTTTCTACAGAGTTTAGGCAATATTTAATACACTCTCTCACTTTTTTTTTGCGTGAATATTTTCATATAAAATATTATAGGTCTCGTTAGTATCGATCGTTTGATATAAAATTCATATTGAATCTCTATAATTAGAGAAGATTCTTAGATGATATTCATAATGTAATCCATTTATGACAGATAATAGTAATTAAATCTCGACAGCCTTTTCATATATATTTATATATCATTTCATAGAAAAACAAAAGAGCTCCAATTTAATGTGTACGAGACAACTAAATATCTTAACGAACCAATTCAATCTGCAGTATAAAAATACAATATCATCTTCATATTCAAAGTCATATGACATAGCCATAATAAGAGTAGCTAAATCAATCGGAGTACTATATGATATGCATGAAACAGTATTATTTCAATGATGATTGACCAGCAGCTTTTAGGATTTATCTTTTCGAGAATTTTCTATAGATCTCATTATTTATTTTATCATTAAACGAGAAGGATTAAACCGAGAGCAAACACTTAGCTGGTGGTGCGAATGGAAGAATAGCTGCGGGCGAGAATTGATTCATGTGAACTATGATTTTCATTAGTTACAGTTAAAATGTAGTATATATTATTAATAAATAAATCCTAGTAGTCCTTTATCAAAATACTTACGTGGAAAAGCAACAAGAAACATAGTAACAAATCCATATTGAATAACTAAATATATAAATAATAAAAAAAGGAAAAAAAATGATATCTATTTCATACTTAATTCAAGATATTCATAAAAAAGTGTTGTTGTTGTCCATCTTTCTAACCTATGAATAACACAAACAACAGATAATATTCTTCTTTTTTGTTTTCGAAATGTTTTTCCTTACATAAAATCCTCTTCTTGTGGTCTTTTACTATACCAATGAAGTGTATGATGACGACGATATCTCATTTGTTTAAATGCATTTCTATGAACAAGTATTTTACGAAAAAATGTCCAAAATTTTCTAGAAAACAAAAATTTCGTCCATCCAATCAAAAAAGAAATAAAATAATCATTTTTTTTTCTTACACCATGCCAACTTCAAATAAATTATTAATTACTTGTTTGCCGACAAGTATAACTAATAATTGAATAGATAATTCAGCAAGACAACCACTAGCTTCACACTAATCAATGAAAATAAAATTTATTTCATTCACGAAATAAAAACTAAATTATTGTTGTTGTTTTCTTACTTCTTCAGTTTTATATTTTCCAATTTTATAACTTTCTACACCAGGTGGATTAGCAAACCATGGTTTAATAAATGCAATATAAAAAATACTTGCATAAAAATTAACAAATTGAAATAAAAACATTTTTAATGTTAATGCATTTTCATAATCTTTTTCTGTTCGATGAATTTCTATATAAAATAAAATATTATTTCATATATTAAATATTCTTTCTTTTCTTTTTTTTACCATAATCTGTTAACCATATAGCTAAACGTTCATAAAGTGAACTTAATGCAATAATAACAACAAGATTAATACATGCACCAGTTATTGAAGCAACATGTGGAGAATATCGACGAACAAGTTCTGGTGTACGAGTTGAACTTATTGCTGCTTTTAAACTTATTCGATAAAGTACAACACCAAAGACAAAACTTAGAACAAGACAGATCTATGTTTAAGAAAATAAAATACGAAGAAGAAGAAATATCATCAGTTTCATGTGATTTTAATAGTCCAGAAAATATGAAATGCTTTTAGTTTGCTAGTTTATATACGATAGCACATACTTTCTAAATTCAATTATCTATTCAATCATCTAGGGGCCATGTTCGAATCAGAGATGGGATCGATTTGGTTTCAAAAAATGCGAAACAATCCCATCTCTGATCCGAATTAAGGAAAGATAGGTGTAATTTTAATAACTCGGCAATGCCAACAGCTAGTGACCTGTGGTTTTTAGTGGTCAAAGGAGAAGAACTTCAGATGTCTTTTTGTTTGATACTATTTAAGACAAAATTATTTTAAAACTCATCATCTTTGCAAAAAATATATGAAAAGGGTGTTCGGTTTCAAGGAAATACAAAGTCAGAAAATTTGCTAAAAAGCAACAGAATTCTATATAATTTAACCCAATAGATAAGTGATTCTGTTTACTCTACATTGAAATGTGAAAAGATGATCACCTGAACTATAGATCTGAAGTTTGTCTATTAGATGCACATGTCAAAATCAAAATTATATTGAAACAGAGCACCATTTTCATGCATTTTTTTTGCGAAAATGATGGGTTTTAAAACAATTTTATCTTATATAGTATCAGACAAAAAGACATTCCGAGTGTTTTTCTCTTTCGATTGTTGAAAACTGCAGATCAATAGCTTTTGCTATTATCGAGTTATTTTGATTACACTTATCTCATCTTTAATTCTGATGCAGACATTAATTGTAGAAGTTAGAAAAACAAGATTTTTGTATAACATTTCTACAGAATGTTGTAACATCATTAAAACTGTCAGCTAGTACAAAGATCAATGACTGGAATATTTAATAACTGATTTAATTATTCTATTCATTTCAAAATAATTCCCATAGGAGAAAATATAGCAGAAAATATATTAATAGGAATTTAGATAAACATGTCCTCGAACATTAAATCTCGCGTACATTTTCAAACTTTATTCAAAATTTTGCCATTGTATACAACATTTTTTTTTCTATATTTTCATAGTAATTAATTTTCTCGTAAATTTTGATTCGAAGAATATAAGTTTCTCTTGAGTGGAAAAGCAAACATTATATAGAAATAATTTTTTAAAATTTTGTGTCAACAAGAAAAAACGACTGACAACAAAATGTTTTATATAGCAGAAAATTTTCCGCCGTTAAGAACAAAAGAAAACCTATATATGTCATTTTATATGAATCGAATGACGAAGATTTTAATCTCGAAAATTAATTATTCTTCAATTGATATGGAAATTTCATGCAAAATTAAGTACAATAATTTGTTTTATAGCCTTCTATTATTAGATCTCATCAGATAATGTCTACGACTGTCGGACATCGATCGAATTTATAATTTGTCTATAAGTGGGACTCGAGAATAATAGTGAGAACTTAAAAGAATTCATATCCATGACTTGTCCATCTGAAGTTATAACCGTTTAGTTGAATTTTTGATCTCAGACAAGTTATTTGATCGAAGATCGAATGACACAAGCTTGACCTGAACTTTTTTGCATGATTAGGTCTTATCATTATTAAATTGCTCTGAAAGTTTCATTTGAAAAACATGATTTCTTCTAGATATTTTGAATAATAGAAAAGGTTGGTATTTTGAGCAAGGGGGAGGGGGGGGGGGAGGGAGAAAGGAGGGACAGCAAACTTAAAAAGGCTTCAGATGACTTCAATGAACTTCAAGACTGAAATTTCTACTATTTCCCTCTCAGTCAAAACATCAACCTTTTCTATTATTCAAAATATCTAGAAGAAATCCTGTTTTTCAAGTGAAAAATCAGTGCAATTTAATAATAATGAGATTTACTTATGCAAAAAAATTTCAGGTCAAACTTGTGTCATTCCATCTTTAACCAGATACTTTATCTAAGATCAAAAATTTAATAAAACGTTTATAACTTCGGATGGACAAGACATGAATGTAAATCTTTTTAAGCTCTCACTAGTTTCCTCAAGTTCTACATATGGATAAACTATGAGTTCAATCGTCATTAGACAATTGCGAATGTTCCCTCTTCAGACTTAGAATTTTCACAAAAGATTTATTTCATCTCAAGGATACGTGAAGAAAAAACAATGATTCAATGCAATATTTGCAATAAATAAAAATTTCTCGAATATTCTTTATATATAATCAATGAATATTTTTCCATCAGCACACGATTACCAAAATGTCAAACTTAATATATTCAATAATTTCTAAAGCTTCTTATTGTTAGGTGACATTATTGATTAGAATATCTCGTGTTTAACGGAAAGCTTAAGTCTATCGATTTCCGTTTTGTTTTTATTCTTCTTCATCATTTATTTTCGATTATCATTAATTCTTGAAAACCTTCTACGACATTATTCTGTTATGAACATTCATTTCATTTTCAAAAACATCGAATTTCCATCTATTTATATGCCTAACTGTATAAATCTATACTAAAAGTCAATCATTACACTTTAGATAAATAAAGCAAAAGAAGAAAAAAAAAAGGAACGAACCATCATAGCAACAATAGAAAATGACGATACACTTTTTGCACATCGTTCTCTAGCTGGCATATATTGTTCTACAACACCAGTTATTGGATTAACACGTGTTGTTCGTACTTTACGTTTAAAATCTGGTCGTGGTTCATCTAAATCACTTCCTCCATTTCCACCATCTATTAAATCAAATGTATCCCATTCATACTAAAGACAAGAAAAAAAAACAATAATTTTTCATTGATCATAATTTTCTTTTTTATATTTACTTGAAATTGATATTCAGCAACATCCCAAGCTGAAAGAAATAAAGTTGACCATACTGTTACTATAGCAGCATAACCAACAGTTGCCTTATTATCAAATAAAAATGCCATCTAAATAAAATAAAATTATTCTTGAGAAAAATAATGTTTTTATTTAACAAATAATTTCTTTACTTTAGCATAAAGACAATCTTCACCTAATGTCCATAATTGTCGATGTGATCTTGGACACATAATTGTATGTGCCAAATTATAACAAATGTCATTACTAAAGATAAAATATCAATGTGTATCTATATCATATTATAAAATAAGCTTACTGACGTTGGTACATCATGTTTTACTGCCCAAAGACCATAGAAAAAAACTGAAAGACCAAGAATACAAGGAAGTATTAACATTTGAATGTACCTTAAACAAAAAAGAAAACAATAAACATAAACTTCAATTATTTGATAATTAAAAAATTAATATAAAAAAGATCAAACCATCGTAACCAACAAAAATATAATGCAACATGTTCACCAAAATAATCTTTTATATGATTAATTGGTTGATCTTTAAAAACATTACTTATACGACTCCAATGCCACCATAATTTCTATAAACAAGAAGAAAAAAAAAAGAAATAAACAATAAAATTAAAAATACAAACCATTCTATCAAATGTATTTCGATGTTCACCTTTTGTCATTATCCACGATGAAATCATATGTGGTTCAATATTTTTTAATAATGGCTATTAGAAATTAAATAATTCAAACACAATATAAAAATTTATTTCCGATATAAAATTCTTACTGCATGTAATGGATAACAATCATCATAAACTTGATCACGAAGAAGAAGTTCAATACCTAGAAAAATAAAAAAAAAACGTTTTATAATTCATTAATATTCAATTGATTCTTCATATCACTGTCTAGTCAGAGAGAAAAGCAAAGGCATAAATCTTACGACTTCCTCTTCCTTTCTTATGTAATGACTTTGTTGTTTTTTTCTTCTATGTGTATCTCTGCTTCCTGATTTACCCGTTGATCTATTTATAGGATATTGGAGCAACAAGTACGTTTTATTTATGTTAAATAAAAGAATGAAAATATTGATACAATCTTGAAATTTTGGAAAGACAATGTTATATCCGGTTTATATATAATATTTAGAAAAATTTTAAACTAAATTCTTTTTTTTATTTCTAACTATATATAATTAGGAATACAATTGAAGGAAATTATATGGTAGATTAAAATTAATGATAGTCTAAAAATTCCGATACATGTCATTGATATGTGGAAATATAATCAACAAAATGATGACATTGATTTTTTTTGTTTTTAGTTCACGAACAAACTTGATTCCCTTTTTTACTGTTCTTTTTTACCTGAACTTGTTGAAAATGCAGTAAAAATTTTTTCTAATTCCAAGACACGTCTTTCTCTTGCGTCACCTGTACCACGTAAACCTACAAACACGAAAAAAAACCAATTAATTCAATTATTTGCATGATTAGCAAATATATATTCTATTAACTTTGTCGTTCTTCAATGTCTGTTGCTATATCAAATGGTGTACGTAATAAACAATCATAAACAAGACGACTTCGTTGAGCTGGTGTAAAATATAAATCACGTGAATTACCACGTAATGTATCAAATAATGGTTCAAATCTTATATAAAATAACCAAATATATCAATAAGATTAAACTTTTTTTCGTTTTTTTTTTCTTTTTTTCTTATACATACCGATATCTTAATGTTTTATCATATTCAGCAAGAAAATAATATTGTTCAGGTGGAAACATAGTACGATCAATCTGTGTAAATGGTAACCATGACATTAGATAATCAAATGGTCTTTTTGGAACAGATGGTGTACGATTTTCCTAAATATGAAAATCAATTATTAATATCAAATAAAATAAATAATAAATAAATGATATCATCTATTAATTGAAATTATTCTTTCACTTGAATAAAATATGTTCAATTTATAGATTCTTTCTCTCGTTAAAATATATGATTTCATGATATGTAATACGAACTAAAAAAAACAAATCGGAATTTCCCTTAAGGCAAACAAGTAAAAAGACAAAAAAGAAAACAAGTAAGAATAATATATTATTTTTATCGATCAAAATTTTTTCTTTTTTTCTTTTTTTTTAGATTTTTACTTCAATTGGTAATTTCATTCGTGTTTTTTCGGCTAATTCAAGTAGAAGTTCAAATGGTGCATGAAGACGAACAAAACGTTTAACAGATTGTTGTTGTGGTTGTTTAGATTGACGACGATGACGATTAAATAAACCATTAGCAATTATTTCATTATTCTCATGATTAACATCATCATGTCTTGATTCCTAATTATATTAAAGAAGAAAAAAAATAGATATAAATATGAAAAGAATTTAAATAATTTAAATTTACCAATCCACCAACAATATCTTGTTCTTCAATTTTAAAACCAACTGATTCAAGATTATGTTGAAATGCTTGTCGACGTTGTTTATTTATTATTGAATCACGAACTCCAAGACTATAGACAAGTACAAAATCGATGCGACGACGTTGTCGACAATCATTAGTACGGCCGACATTTGGTGTTGTCAAGTAGAGTTGTCGATC